TGGATTCCTTATCATCAGAGTTGTAGATTCTTGGGGACCTTGCACCGCCCATCTTAGGCGCCGCCCACTTCAGTGCACGCTCCGCCCACTATGGGGCTTACCTTCGATTTTGAGTGTTCGGTAAATTTTGGCCTGTGCCCCCCCCATTCTGAAGTCGACCTGGTCTCTCAATGTCATTTTTCACGTAGTTCTGACTTTTCGGGCGAACACGCAAGCATACAAAACACACACCACACACAACACGCCACAGACAAATTCTGCTTTATATATAGAGAGGATGGATATCCATGTTCGAAAGGTCAAACTACCTCCGGTAGCAAAATTCGGGCCAATTTTTTCCTACGGGGAAATTTCGATGAAAATCTGACTTAATTATCCACGGCGTAGGGCAGTGAACGAGTTGGTTTCTGCTGCTTCGAATCTTCCGAAGAGAACGCTGGTATTATAGCTGCAGTTGAAACCTTGAAAAAAAGGCAATCAGCATTTCCAAATATGCGGGATTACTGGTTCGCGGAAGTTTTCAGAGAATAGAAGCACTCCCTTTCCGATGAAAGGTCGCTCACTCTGTTCTTCGTACCCATCATCCATTATGGTAATATTCCATTTCACTATAATTGCATTCAATTTCTTCGGGAAGCTCATTAAACGGACGTTATTGCAGTCAGGAATTGCAAAGAACCCCCTCTATTAGATGGCATTCTCGTCAATAGCTCGTTATTTTGAGCATTTCGCAGGCTACCTTGCACTTCCCTTTTCCCATTTTTTCTTCAACATTCACTTTGTGCGGAGTGTTTACTAAGCTATCACAGTGAAGGTGGGCCAGAGGGACGGCGTTGGTAAAATGTGAATCGGGGCGGTAAGAGAGTCTTGTACCACTAGGTTACGTCGCAAGTATAGAATCCCCTACGAAGTACGCGTACGGCCTGCAGAACTTTTCTGGTTTTTTTTCTGGATGCTCCTGTTTCATGCGTTGCTAACTGAGGTTTTTCCCCCCACGACGGGAGGTGCCCTGAGCACCAAACTCGACTCTTTTTTCAAGAAGTTACTATTTTCTTCGTTGGTAGTTATCAGTAAACAAGTCTGTACGAATCATAATTTACTGCCCAACTCTTCGCTGAACTACTGGTTCAGAGACTTTTCGGGACGCGACACGAATTTCACTCCTAGCAAAAATCGCAGTGACTTATTGAATGCTGTGGCATATACAATGTTTTGCCGGGGTCAGCCCATGTACAATTCCATATTTTTCTTCGAATCAAAGGCGAATTGCCGGTCTAACTGAACCGCTTTCCCGCAAAGCTCCGCAGAGGGGGGGGGGCGAACCTATACGGGACGAGTCACTCGCTGCTACACCGCCTCTGCTTGCCTTCACTGCTTGTAATACTTTTAGCTAGAACTGCCAACGGTTTTGTTCAGAGCGCTTGAGACTCCTAATTTTTGTCAGCTGGTGAAATACTCATAACCATATCATGCGCATTTCAATCCCGCTACCTTCATTTGACTCTGTTTTGAATGTAAAATAGTTGCTTGAATGACTCGATACTCAAGCGAGGCGGGCGGGCGTGCTACGCGACAAGTGGCGCCTTTACCACTCACGCGGCGCTGGGTACAACAGGGTCGACTCCTGCCGACGCCAACCAGGCCTTCTACCCTGTAACTTGGTACAGATTCGTCTGGGAGGATAACACTGACTTGTCCATCTGCTGGCCCCTCCCTGCAAGTCATTGTATAGACCACATCGCATTCAATAAGCCACTACGATTCTGAATGAGAGTAGAATGCGTGCCGCATCTCATAAATGATTGATCAACGGCGTTACTTTACTTTACTTACCCTTTGTTACGATTCAGATGGATCGCATAGTCTAATAAGGGCTTTACTGTAATCATAAATCATACGCCCAGCAGCGTTGTTCCGAAAGTCAAGTGTTGCAATCCTTGATGGCTCCCGAGGAAAAACGATGGTATGATGGACAGTTGGTGCAAAACCCGACATACCTTGTGGAAAAGGTCATAGCCATCGTAGTCATATAGTCTTGTTCGCTGCGGATAGCGAGACTTGTCACGGTGTTGGGCGCGGCACCAGCCCACCCATTTTCTAGATTGAGCTAGTAAGCCAACATTGTGGGGATATGATTGAAAAAGGCTCCGTTTGTCCGCCCGAACCCAGCCACTGACAACTCCTTATGTTCGCCAGCAGAACAAGAAGAATTTTTTACAGGCTTTAGCTGAGTGCTATTCCCGTAACATTTACCGCAGCCGAACTGCTATAACGACACTGCTGCAACTGTAAGTAGCAAAGTTATGAAGACGTCAAAGGCGGATGGTCTACCCTCTGCGTGATGGCCCAGACATATAGTGTTTACATTTCTAATTGAAGTGACGATTTAGAAGACGATTTCGCTTTTTTCTATTTTTACATGTATATCACGTCTACTTGCACTTGGGGGAAGACCAGATTAGCGTGCCTCATGACTTTTTTAAGAAGGTGTGCAGAGGGTCAACATTCTAAGTAAGTTTCGTACATCCATGAGTCTGAGAAAAGTCGGGGCTAAGCTTTCCATAAAGCTGTTCGTGCAGGATGAAGATTGAAAAGGTTGCAGTCTTCTCCGCCGCTCAATCCTTTGCAACGGAACGCGGCACGCATTCTACTTTCATTCAAAATCGCGGTGGCCTATTGAATACGATGTAGCCTATACAAGGACCTGAGGGGTGCAGCTAATGTATGGTCAGTGCCAGTTTTTGTCACCGGATGGAAGAAGCATTCGTTGGCCTGGGCGGGAGCCGATCCTTGATTTGGCCCGCGCGTGGTGAGCGTGCAACTTGCAACAATATTTTTCAGCTTTGGAACAAATGCAAAAACTTCTCAAGACTTACTATTGTCATTTTATTTTATCTTATTGCTACTGGCGCAGTTCGGCGAAGAGGGGGGGGGGGGCATTTTGCACTTTCGCTACTTCCCATCGACGTGTCGACCCATCTAGACAGCCTCTTCTCGAGTTGACAGGTTTTACCATGATGGCTTGACGAGCTTGCTCCAGCTTCACAAGAGTTCGCCAGAGTGAGACTTGTAAACCGGAACTAAGGAAGCAATGATAGTACAAAATGCCCCCCTCCCATTTGCTAAAATATCCTGGAATTGAGGAGGAGGCGATGTGGTGGCAAGGGCGTCAAACTACGCCCTTGCCACCACATCGCCTCCTCCTCAATTCCAGGATATTTTAGCAAATTTTGCGTCATTTGCTATATGATCATCATGCAAGGAAGAAAAACCGCCATGAGCGAATCTCAAGCTTACCGCGTCAGGTTCTCGAAGGTCGGCATCAATGACCTTGCCCGGAAATCAGCAAAAACAGCTTGAATGTATGCGTACAGGTTAAACGCGTATTGAACTGCGTTCACAATCGGTTCAGGTCGAGGACATGGCGCAACCCAAAAACAGTGCCCAACGCTTATCACTTTCTCCGTTACCCCCTGAATATCGATTAGGAAAATGTTCCTCTTGAGCCAAGCACGGCATGCGTTGTGATAAATTCCTGAAGAATACGACCCCCACCCCTTATTCTATCCTCTGATCCCCCCACTCCCCATCATCCTACTTACCCCTTTTACCCCTTTCCTAGATTTTCCCAACTTTCTACCACCTTTTCCAGTTTTTTCCGGAGTTTCCCTAGGACTTCCCTACTTTTTTCCCTAAAATGAGGTCGAGTGGGGGAGAAGGTGGTCCTGTCAGAAACTAACTACTATTTTCAACGCAGTGCCGCCAACTAGGGGGGAGCGTCCGGGTAACAAGAGAAACCGACTATCAAAAAAATTTTCTAAGTTCAAATACGACCTTCCTCCCTCGCGGCCAGATACGACCCCTCCCCCGTTGTGATTATCACGAAGATGGCGTGCCCTGCCTCTTGAGTAGGTTTCTTTAAAGATTTGTTTTATTGACAGACTGTTCCGCGGTGAACCCCAAAATTGGTCCATTGGTTTCCCATAGGCATGACGTATGAAAAACGGGAAATGGTCGTGTAATTTCTCCAGTTGATGAAGCGAGTGACGGCCTGCATGACAGTGAGAGCCGATTGCGTTACGCGTTTTTGTAGCGCGTAAACGTCACGTCTGACATTGCGCTACGCTGATTTATTCATGTCCATTTAACGACTCTCTCTCCCTCTCTCTCCCTTTTCGGACCCAACCGAAATTTGATTGCGTTTTTATGTCCCACATGAACATAACACCGACACTGATATACACTGATATGCTATAACACTGATATGCTCCCGTAACTGTCTTTGAATCGAATAGCCCTTGTAAGAGTAACGGCACGTGGTATGGGCTTGAGAACAGGGTACAGCATCGTTTTGTGAAAACATAGGGAGGAGGGGTCGTATGTGCCTTCAAGAGAAAGTTGCTGTAATGGGGAAAAGTTTTTCACAGTTTTTGGTTTTTCGCGTGATTTTTCCTGTTTCATGTGTACTTTATGTATACTCCCAGCATCGCTGCCATGTTCTGTGGGTCAGCTCACGGTCTCAGAAATGATACCTATAAATTCAGAAATCTTGACAATGACACCCTTCCCCCCTCTCCAATCTCCGAAATTTTTCAATATGGTTCGGGAATTGCGTATTTTCCGGAGAATTATTCAGTGATGCAGTTAAGTGCAGAGGCAGGGTAACGATAAGTGGCTCCACCTACCATATGCACTGCTCAGAAGTCAAACTCGTGAGTAACTCTAGCGCACAATAAACTAGTTCTTTTATTTCTGCAGGGTCGCATAATTAGCATTGATTTACCAGGGAGGAAGGAAGCCCCAACTGCCTATTGGTATCAATATGTATTAGGTTGGCAACTAAGTATTTCATGCGGATTCCACTCATAGATGGTTTCAGTTGAATTCGAGTCCCCATCGTAAAACTTATTTTGTTATTAGACAGTTGGCAATTCAGCTATCAATCGCTATAGAAAGTTTTTTGATTGGTTGCATAGTTTTTGTTTGGCGTTCGTTGAAAAATGGAACATCAAAAGGAACATTTTCGTCATATTTTACTTTTTTATTTCCGCAAAGGGAAAAACGCATCGCAAGCTCACAAAAAGTTATGTGCTGTTTATGGTGACGAAGCCTTCAAAAGAACGGCACTCAAAGATGAAGAATGCTCTGGTCGTCCAGCTGAAGTTGATGACGACCTTATCAAAGCAATAATCGATTCGGATCGTCACAGTACAACACGTGAGATCGCAGAGAAGCTCCATGTATCACATACATGCATTGAAAATCACTTAAAACAGCTTGGCTATGTTCAAAAACTTGATACATGGTTCCTCATGAACTGAAAGAAACGCATTTAACGCAACGCATTAACAACTGCGATTTGCTTAAGAAACGTAACGAAAATGATCCATTTTTAAAACGACTGATAACTGGCGATGAAAAATGGGTTGTTTACAACAATATCAAGCGGAAAAGATCGTGAGCAGATCGTAAGCAAAGAGCAAGCCAGATGAACCAGCTCAAA